AAAACTAAAACTAAAACTAAAGATTATCAAACTCCACAGATGTCCTCTTCCTGAAACACATGAAAAATCTGTACCAACTACATTGTGCCTCATTTTTTTTTCTCTTGTGTGCATGTATGTTTGTAGGGTTTCACTAAACAGCTCAGACTCCTCATGATCCTCCTGTTTTCAGCCTCCCTAGTGCTGGGATTACAGGTGTGAGCCCCCACCCTGGACTCCGTGGCCTGGGGCATGGCCCGCTTCTGCTTTAATCTACTGAGCTATTGGACCGGCCCTCTGTATGTGTGTTTGACACAGGGTCTCACTATGCAGTTCAGACTGGTCTTGGGCTCACTTTGCAGCCCAGGCTGGTCTGGAATTTGAAACAATGAACATGAAACAATCTTCCTGCCTCTTGACTCCCAAGTGCTAGGATTATAGTGTGCCACATTTCTTTGCCCACTTTCAGGCTATTCTTTGTTTGGCTCTTTTTGTCTTTTTGAGACAGTGTTTTGCTGTGCGGTTCAGCCTAACCTTGAGCTCAGTTTGTATTGTATTCTAGGCTGGCCTTGAACTTTTGAGGATCCAACTGTCTCAGCCTCCTGAGTGCTATGATTACAGGCATTTGCCATCATGCCTGGTTTGAGATCCTGTCTCAAAACAACAAAAACAAACAACCTGTTAGGCCTGAAGCTAGGGCTGGGACAGCATCCCAGAAACACTCCAGTCAGGACCCAACACCATCCTGACTCCTAAGAAAGTGTGATCCCTCTCTGTAATATTGTGTATTCACTCACTTCGGTCCAGCTCTAAAGGCAGGGCTTGATATACCAATTGGGTGTTTTTGTTTGTTTGTTTTGTTTTGTTTTTTGGCGGAACCGGGGATTGAACTCAGGTCCTTGCTCTTGCTAGGCAAGCGCTTATTCTACTAAGTCATCTCCCCAGCCCCTGATATACCAGTTGTGTGTAGAGTTGATTTCCTAAGAAGCCTGTGGTGATTTATCTGTGGAAGGTGGCAGAAGGCCTCTGTTCCCCACAGCCCTGCTGTAGCACACACTGTGCTGCTGGGAATGGGTACACTGGAGCCTCCCCTGAGACACAAATGTGGATGCCCCACCAAGTTCTGAGAGACAGTCGTAGGTGCCCTCTGACCCTGATGTCCACTTCCCTCAGGGGAGCAGGCTCTGGAGGCGGCCACCTCAGAACACAA